GAACACCATGTCAACCACAGAAATAACACTGACAACTATTCAGAGTTTGCCTTGTGTGATTACACCGTTCCTCCTCTGTATGGTATTGTATGGTGACTTTGTTGTGGCTTGACCATGTTGATTTCTATATCCTTCTTCATGACAGCCACAGCAGTGAGACCATGTGTCACTCTCCTGCTTCTCAGTCACTACACTTCTCCTGTCACGATCCTCAGGTTGTACGAGCCGCAAAAACTGGAAAACTCCTTGAAAACATCATGGAAGTGGAGTTCACCAACTGGTTGGTCTTTGGATTAAAAAGGGTCACCATATGGTCACCTTGTTTTGGGGCCATGCCATCATGCACTTCCATTCCAGGGAGTGTTTCCACCAATGTTTTTTGACCGCTTCTTGGACAGTCTCCCTCAGACCGCAGTTTGGTCGGCTTTTGGGGCAGACTTCTCCAAGGAAGCACGGGGCGAAAAATATGGAAACAGTTCTCCCATGGCAATCAACACCTGCGCTCTTGTTCGCTCTGAAGCGTTCTCCAACTCTTTAACTCTCTCTCTCTCTCTCTCTCTTTCTCTCTGTCAGGAGGGTGGAGCTTATGCACTCGGAAAGGCTATATCGAGTGGAAAGACCTGTGGTAGCCCCTTTGTCCTCCAGTGCCGTCTCCAGTTCAGCGCCAGTGGTTCGCAGCTCCTGCAAGTCAGTGGTGATGAGGACTCCCTAATCATAGATTGAAAGTAGATGGCACAGACCCTTTATATGTGAAATCTAGTGTCAGTATGCTGATGCTAGCGATGCTGGCTGGTGAGTCTTTGTTGCATTGACTAGCACCTTTAACATCATCTCACCAACTGACTGTAATCGAAAGCATGTTAAGGTGGAGCCAAACAAAACCATACATTCTATATACATCATTGTACTGTGTCATCCTGGGAAAGTAGGTCCATTCAAATCATTCAAAGTGACCTTTTTGGAGTTCCTAAGTGACCTTTTGCGGGCCTGTTTGTGACCTCAAACCACGGAATCAAAAGGTGACTTTGAAGAACCAGTGCACTTGTTGTTTTTGTTTCTTTAAGCTCTCATGCTAAGCTTGGAATCCGACCTGACGCTGCGCCGCCCGTTTCTTGAGGACGACCGGCTTCGAGCTCGCTGCTCCGAGCTGGCAATGTCTCGGTTGGAACCAGCTGCCACATCTCGGCGGTCTGCACCGTCGCTTCACGACAAGCTCCCACTTGTTCTCGCCAAACGATCAAAGGATGACAGATCGAGTACCGTCTGCGTCGTTCTCGTGCGTTAGAAACCCAGTCTGGTGAAGCAGGTTTTGAAGCTGCAAAAAGCGCAGGCTGCTCCATCGATTGCGTGTAAAAAGCTCGGAACGAAAGGCAAACCCGAATCAACGACCTTGGTCCGGATGTCCTTTGGATTCCTCGAAGAACAAAAGGATCGAGGATCCGGATCCATCTTCTTCAGTTGATCTTCTATATCCATTCCACTTCTGCATGAAAGTGCACCCCCAGCAGGAAAGACGTCTTTCAAATACAAACTCCACGGCTACAGTGGGGGTTCCTACTTTTCTCAAACAAGGTTTGTCCAAGATCTTTGGGCAGTCAGCAGTCTACACTGTAGCACTTCTAGTAAAAGCTTCATGTGAAACTTCTGCACAAAGTGGCACAAAGTACCTGTTTGTCCTATATTTTTGTTATTTTTGTTTCTTGTCTACCTGTACAACTCAACATCGCATCAAATCCTGCAAAAGGAAACATATTAACATAAATGAGCATCCACTATACGGAAACACATCAATATCGTTGTACAGCTAGTGACTTTGCACAGTGTGCCTAGCCTATGTAGAATGAATCGTGGTCATCCTGTCTTGAACTTAACTGCCAAAGGAAAGAAGGTGCTCTAATCATTGTGTAGTGTCATTGGGTAAGGAAGTATTGTTTTGACCCGCTTTCTGAATGTGACCAACAAGATCATTTAAACAACTCAATTCAAGCACATGCCTGAAGATCCAAACAACAAAACAATAGTTACCATTCCATCTATTTGGTGGTACTGCAAATCTTGTACCAAACACAAGCGTTGTCAGTGAATTTTCCAGGGTCCTGACATTCAACCTGCAGGTTTTTACATGGGGTCTCTTTTTGAGCCACATCAATATTCCCTGGGTCTTGCTTTTGTCGATGGTTTCTCCTTACACATCCTTCATCTCACCTTTTTCGCAAGCCGTGAAGCAGAAAACATGGCTTCAGGGCGGACGCGCCGAGGCAGTGCAGGTTGAACTGCAGAGGGAAGAAACACTCTATATTTCCCCACAACCACTCTTGCATGCTTTTTGCCAAACGGACATGCAATGATTACTTTCTTGCATAGGTGGACCCTCCAGTTCAGTTCGTACCCTAGCTAGAACATGGGACATGACCCGAACCAACAAAAAAAACGATAAACACTGTTTTAGTTGTACCCCTTTTCTACAGGAAAAATGGAACCGGGTCGACTCCGTCAGGTTGAAGATGTTGAAAAAACGAGGGTTTCCCGGACAGACTCGGACAGACTGATCCATACCCCCCAAACGGAGCGTCTCGGAGCGGGAGCGTCAAAAGTGAAGTCTCTTCCCAGGAGTCACATGCCCAGACGCTCCATGTATGCCATATATGCCTACATTGACCCCTTTTCAACCACCCCAACTGATCGCCATATATGGCAGTCCCATTAGTCGCGTCTCGGATGGAGGTTGGGTGGCTTTAGTCCCGTCCTTGGGAGTGAAAGGATGTGACGCCGGGGGCACCTAACCTCCTTCCGTCCGTCACTCGGCGCACGACACCAGCTAGCTCTGTGACTCAAAAGCCTAACGGAGCGTTTTTTTTTTTTCGGTGCATGATCTCTTTTTCCCCATCTCTCGCCATCATGGGCGATTTGAGAGTCCCACCATATATTCAGAACCTTTGGACTGGATTCATAGTTCGCCCTAGAAAAGCTTGTTGCATCTTGTCCCCACCGCCATCAGCTACCGCCGCCGCCATATGAGTCGCCATGCGCACCAAGCAAACGGAGGGTTCTCAGATCAGTTCGGCTCTGAGGCTCATTCCATCGAAAGCGGACGGAAGAACAGTTGATGAAAAAAGGACACCCATACGCTCACTATGGGACTGCCATAGGACTGCCACCCCATTGACCCCGATCCAACCACCCCAATTATATCACTGATCGGATCTGATCGGCATATTTACCACCCCAACTGATCGGCGTGGAAAGAAGGAAGGAAAGAGTAGCGAGCAGTTCTTTCCCGTTTGGGCTCCTGTCCCATACCCTCAGGTGGTATTCGACCCCCCTGGCACCCACCCCTGGACCACCTTCCCAGGAGGTGGGCCAGGAGCCCTACGTTTTCCTCCAACATGAAATGATGTCGAGCAGTTCTTTCCATCGAAACGAAGAAACTTCTTGACTCATGGTGCTCCCAAAGCAGCAAGAACCCCCAACAGATTCCTTCAATCTTTGGGTGAGACCCTGAGCCTCCCACAGTTGAGATGATCAAGGTCTTGGTCCAAATCCCCTCAACTCTGCAGCTAGACCAGTCAAGTGTGGTAATGTGTGGTACCTTCCCAAAAAGCGCACAATCGCAGCAATGATGGAAGAAGTGACTGCAATCGTGCGTCTATGGCGTCTACGTTCTTCAAGCCGAAAGCCGTGTGGTTGACTGAACGTTCAACCGATGACTGAAAACTGGTAAGACTACACCGAGACACGACCCATGTGACTGCCATATATGCCTACATTCCATTCCATTCCATTCCACAGCCCACAATGCGGGACCACTAGAAGGGTCCCATGAGTGCCACTACCCCGCAGCGTCTCAGGGCCAGCATGGGCCTACATTGACCCCCCTGGCACCACCCCGACTGATCGGCAGTCCTATGGCAGTCCCATGGGTCGTGTCTGGGATAAATCAATACAGTATCAATCATCCCGGTGAATCCAGATACAACTATAGCTGATAAATGAGCGGTTCCAGCGGTTCCCAAAGAAAACAGAACAAAAACCATGGACAAACAAACAAACGACCCAGAAAACCCTGGCTGCTTCCGTGGCTAAGTGGGATCCACTGGGCATGATAAGCAGCCAAGTCCAAACATCTCATAGTCTTCTTCACCGTCACTTCCTGCACCGTCCAAACACCGTCAGCCGCGCAGAACGCGCCCGGCGCCGGGGGTGCTGATGCCATCTGCGTCCAGAACATCTGCTCCGAATGACATGAGCTCGGCCGGACCTGTTCTGATTTCCCATCCCAGATCCTCTCGGACATGATCACGTTCGACCAATTCCACCGCACATCTTCGAAGTCCTCTGCTTCCGCTGAGAAACACACCTCCTCTCCAAGGCATGAGAAAGGTTGTCCATACATGTATTCGATCACTCAGAGCCTATTTGCCCTTGTTTTGTGCCTGACAATCTAGACTACGAGAATTGGGTGAGTGCGGATCCAATTCTAACAATCTAAAGTCACGCCAGGGGTTCTTTGTCTTTATCTGTGTTGCTCTTTGTCATAACATTGTCGCGCTAGAAGCGTTTGTCCTTGCTTTTGGTGCGTGCTTGCTCGCTTGCCCGTATCTCTGTCTTCCAATGCTTTCTATAGCTTGGCTCCAAATGACCATTATGAGTTCAACTCGTCTGCCGCTTGGTCCATTCGGACCGCCAATCCACCAGGCGGAGCATGGGAACAAACGGCGTGGTGGACATGGTGAGACGTGTGGAGAATGAATTTGGAAGACTTCATCTCTTCCTCCAGGAGATGGAAGTTGATCTGCCATTGAATTCTTGATAACTTCTTGACCACCTGGATGACCTATGGACCAAATCCAAACACCAAACGTAGAAAACCCTGCGTCCAGGGAAGATCGGATCCAGCTGAAACTGTCTGAGTCCGAGCATCAAGGACCATGGCATGTTTCATCCCCAAAAGTGATTTCACACCAGGCACCAGTCTGTGGATCTTAGCCCAAATCCCATGAGCTTGGCCCATGCCATCTTGGCAGAGTTGACGGATGGCGACGAAACTTCCAAGACTGCCACTTGCAGAACTCGGGATCTCCCGAAAAAACATAAATTGGGCCGCTTTCGGCCCCCCAAAACCACGTCATTGACGACCGGAGCAGAAGACCGTCGTCGACAGACCGCGAGGGCAACAGTTTTCTGATCGCCTCGGCGATTTTGGGGACAGTGGAAATCCACGGCGAATCCATGCAGTCACTAAAGGTAGCCCCTCAAAAGCGAGATCTTGTATAGTGGTTTCAGAGTAGAAGGCACAAACCCAAAGGTTTTTTCAAATAGGGGTCCTTATAAACCACCTTTGGGGGGTTGTGCCATCTACTCTGAAACCACTGTACTAGCGCGAGATTCGAACTGGGTTCCTGAAGAATGATGCAACGAGATGACGGGTCTCACTCAACAAACCGACGATGCATGACCTGGCCGTTGGGCGGTTTGGACCTCGGAGATGGTGGCTCACCCGCGCCGCGCGCGCAGCGCGCGCAGCGCGCGCAGCGCGTGCGCGGTCTCCGCCGCGGTTGTCCCATCTGTTCACCTCTGTGGTCTCTGAGCCGTCCCGCGACCTCACAGGGGTGAAGGACGTCGTGTCGCCCAAGCACTGGCAATTTGAAGATCCAAAGGTGTCGGCGGTGTCTCAGTGTGACTCAAAGAGATACAACCCGGCAAAAATGCAGGTTTGAGATCTATACCTTCCAGCGTCCAATCACTCTAGTGCTGAAGGTTCCGGAGACTCGACCGATCCACCCGTCAGCCCAGAATGTCCAACCACATCTTCTGCCGTCCTCCGGTGTTCATCCGACCAAGGAAGAGGCCCAACAGCTTCGGAGGCCCAGGACCGAAGTAGGGCTCCGGTCGTACCGTACCCACCCAAGTCCCACCTTCGAGTTGTTAAGAGGGGAGCCCGACTGGAGCCCGAGTACGAGTTACAGTACTGACTGGTTGCTTTTGGCATTGTCTGTGGCGGAGTCTTAGGGTAGCAGCTTGGATGGTTTGACGCTGGTTTAATATCCGATGTTTTAACTCTCCGTCATGTGCTGGCTTGAATGAGGTCAAGGTTGGGTGATTGGGTGAAGTCTGATCTGCTTTCAGGTTGGTCGACACGGACGACTCGACTCTGGTCAACGTCCAGGTCCGAAACGAAAGTTAACCACTGGCCATGTGGATACTGAATGTGCACCAGTACCACTTCACGAACACTTTTGTCTGATGGCGCCTTTCCTAATACAATATATGCATGCATGTAACTATAACTTTCCACACATGCATGGATGGTCTTGGCGTAGCAAAACGATGTTTGCCATCCAAGACTCGGATTGCAGCTCTGTCTCAGCTGATGCTTGAGAGGACCGCCTCGACCACCGACGATCCACGGCGCTTCGCTCGTATCGGAGCTCATGCAATCCGAGGCTCATGGAGTCCGTGAAGGACGGGGTGTGCGTCCCCAGACACTCCATGTGACTGCCCATAGGACTGCCGATCAGGCCAGGGGTGGTGCCAGGGGGGTCAATTGATCGGCAGTCCTATGGCAGTCTCATGGGTCGTGTCTGGGGTCTTTGTCCAGTTCTCCCGCAGGTTCCGCCGAGTTCGGCCGAACCCGCAGACGGGACGTTGAGTCCGTCGCCCAGAGACGAACAGGACTGCGACAGGGTGGGGTGCTGGCTCTGTGCGGCCCGATGTCGGTTCTGGACGGCGACCGTTTTGGGAGATCGTCTCCTTCACCAATCGATCCAAAGGGCTCCACCCGGACCGGAGGGACCGCGAAGTCCCGGCCGAGGCGCCATGGAAAAGGCGCCCAAGTAATAGCACAGCCTCAGAGTGAGAGTGAGTTGTGACACGTTCAATCGAAGATGATATCAAGACACGTTACATACTTTACCTAAGAGTTTATATATAAGAACAAACCATGAACAAACATGAAGTTAGGTCCAGCAACTACTGAGAACAGCATGTGTTTTTCCTGGTAAAATTATTGGTGTTCTTCCCTCAAGTTTTTCATTTTGATGAGAATTCGGGACGGAGTTGATCCTCCAAACGACCCAGCCACGATGATTGAGCCGTGAAAATGGAAGTCTCACCCAAAAGAACGAAAAATGGTTCTGGCTCCTGGCCTACCTCCGTTTCGAAGATGGGACTGGGGTGGGTGCCAGGGCCCAGTCAAACCGAACCTGAGGATATGGGACAGGAGCCTTAGGAAATGGTTCTGGCTCCAAGCAAAATGGAAGTCTGGCCATGTCGTAAGGGGCGTTTGTTGAAGCTTTTGGGTCCCAAACTCCTACCTTGACCCCGAGACACGGTACCTTCGTACCCTAGAACATATGACCATACATGACCCAAAAAGAAACATGCTGCGCAGGTATATACTTGTACTACCCATGTTCTGAGGAGATGTCTACCACTATGTCTACCTCTTCGCAGATCGAAAACCGAAGCTCCTGTCACGGCCTCCCCGCTCAGCGGGTCCGTGGGGGGTGATTTTACTGCCTGGCTCTGTGGGAAGATGTGAGGTGAAATGACACGCCGGCTGCGCAGGGCTTCCAGTTGGAAAAGCATAGACCTATAGGAACCCACTAAAACCATAGACAAATCTTTTGAGTCTTGAGTTAGTCTATGTTTTGTTCCAACATGTTTCAAAGTCTAAAACCATAAACCTATAAGAACCCTGGGATCCACAGCAACGATGGGGCTCGAGTCGCCTCAGCAATGCAACGAACCAAAAGATTGGGTAGATCGGTAGATCTGGTCTTGTTTATGAAATAAGTGCCTGCCAATGTCTGCCAAATGAGCATCTTGCTGGAAAATCCTAGCACCATCAAACCCCTGGCCTGAAGATGATTTAGAAGCTTAGCTTTGATGACTGAACATATGAACAATATTCTTTTTCAGCACCCTCCACAACAGGTCACCGATGGTTCGCCTTGCTTTTTGGCTCTTCGCGGTGACCTGGCAGTGAAGGTGCTGGAGTTACAGATCCTTTTCATGGTCTTCTCCTGGTCGGTACCTTCGATCGAACACTCCCCCCTTCCACCCCCCACGGTGAAGCGCTTCGCCATCCAGGCAGCTTGGTGATTTGGAATATGTAGAGCCTTCTGCCTGGTCAAACACGGTCCAATGAGGTGTCTGGCGCTACTCATTCTTCGCATCAAAACAGCACTGGCTGCTGCGCTTCGAACATACCAGGACCACCCCAGACCCGGGTGTCCTGTCTGGAGATCCCTAAGTAGTAGTGGGCTGGGGGGCGTCCAGCCAGGACACCCAGATGGTCGGATGGTCCAGGTAGATGATGTATCGTCCATATCTGATCAAGACCCTTGGCGAGTCAAGGACCATCCGAACAGGACGTCTTGCAGGCGAATCCCTCGGGGTCGTGGCACCACGCGGGGGGGGTCGCCGCCTTGGAAGTAGAAGCCTGCTTCACTCTGTCGAATGTACTGAACCATGTACTGACCTCAGCCGTCGGTGGTGAGGAAGCCGTCAGTGAGTCATCCACGCGTCGTGAAGAACGGCTGTGATGAAGGAACCGAAGAAACATCGAACATTCCCCATGCGGTGCGGACTTGGGGACTCACCCAGTTTGGGGAACCGATGGGAAAAACCTGCTAAGTAGGGGCCGTACCCTATTATGGAGGGGTCCGGACCCGAACCAATCCCTATGGTTTTGAGGGACCAAGGCCTGTTTGGGGCGTCTGGGCACTTGCTTTCCATTTGCACTTCCAGTTTGACAGGTGGACCTGCAGACTAGCATGGATACCCGATGAGACGTTGCTACCAGCTACGCAAGTATAGTGGTACATAGATTTCAGATTTAATTTAAACATGGCTTATGCTCCATGACCCCATACTCACCTCATCATCCAACGGGGGCACTTTGCGACTCTTGAGACCATCGGCCTCCAATTTGAACGGAGTGTCACTTGTTCTTGAGGGCACTATGACCTTACAACTGGAAGCATTTGTTTCACTTTGCACTTCTCAACCCCTCACCACAAAAACTGGAGCATCCGAACGAGAAGGAACGCCCTTGGAAAGGGAGTTTGGTGACTGCGCAAGCCAAGCTGACGCTGGCGACTTTGTCCAAGCGCCCTAGTGACACTGATGAGTAAGCCGGAAGCACCCAAACCAAATCAAACCAATAAATGCAGGTTTGACTGCTCGAAATGCCCACGTTGTGTCGCCTCCAAGGGCCTCGTGACCCGCGACCCGCAGCGAAACCACACTGCCAAGCGCTTGATGTCGCTATCTCACCATGGTCGCAACCAAAAGCATCACACCAAACCCCGGATCTGTCGTTAGCCTCCACCACCTCCCATGTGCACCCTGATACTTCTATAAAGGATTCTATGAGGGCGCTCTGACCGTCCAGAACACTTTTTTTGGGATCACACCGGCCAGCCAAGGCGCGTCCAACGTCCATCCACCCGGACGAGCCCTCGCCACGTTTGAAGCTCCAGGAGTTGACCAAGGGCGCCACTCGCATCGCCTGGGTCATGGTGAGTGAAGCGCATGGTGGTTCAGTCTGTGATGACCTGGAACTGGCGACGGACCAGGCAGTGATTTCTCACCGAATTGTAGGTCTTTCAGGTCCCAAAGTGCCATATGGTGTGGAGTCTTTGGCAACAACTCAGCGCAGCCGTGATCATCCTTCATCTCACCGGGACCCCCACGAGCCGCGAGATGGCGCGCGCGGGGGCAAGAGGCGCCTTCTCAGTGATGTTGGCCGCACGCATGAGGACGTACAAAAAAAGGAGTAGCGGAGGAACCTGAAACGTGTCGAAAGCGGCATCGAAGTCGCAAGCGAAAGAGGGGGTATAGGAGTGGTGGGCTGGGTTTCTGAAAATCGCTCAAGAAAGCAGAAGGCAGAAACCTGGTATGTTCTGGTTCTTCCAAGCTGTTCCAAGCTGTTGTTTGAAGCTGTTCCAAGCTGTATTCATGGCTTGCTTGACAATTCTTTGAAGTGGCCCGGCAATGGTTCCGTGGGGATTGCCGGACGCTGACGCTTGGGCTGGGCACTCCAAGTACCTAACTCCATCATGTGACACAAGGGGTGGTTAATGAACATCCTTTTTGACTGACCACTAAGAAGCTATCATTATAGACACCCCTTAGGGGCCTAGGTATATGTATTTCTGCTGACATCCGCCAAAGGAAAAGAACACAAACAACAAGGAGATCAACGGTGTCCCACACACAACGCCAGACGGCGGAAAATCTTGTCCTACAGATTCCTCTCGTCGACTCACTGGTTTCGTTTCATAGAGTGAATTCCCCCCCTCCTTCGGAAAGGAGTATGTCGTCTTCCGAACTTGGAGACCATGCGGACCATGCCATCAAATTTGTTATTATAGTCACTCAGTCAGAGCGAGTGTATCCAATCAAATGGATTCAATTTTGGCCCGCAACTTCCATATATCTTAACCGTCTACTTGGCCAACCTCATGCGCCGGAAGACGACGCAGTGAGGGACGTTCCCACTTCTTCCGGTCGCCCGTCTGAACCTCCTCGATCGCTCGGGTCGCGCGTGGGAGGTCCGAACAGGAGGTTCGGGGCGCTGAGACGGCTGTCAGCGGGCGAGGGCGAGGTCTGTGCAGCCTTGAAACCAACCAAGCGATGAAAAGGATCAGTTGTACCTCAGCATGGTCGCTGGTCTTCTAGAAGACAGGTCTCTATCGGACTGCGCCATCTTCTAGTAGCCATGTCGGATCAGGTCGGTCGAATTCTCAGTCGCACTTGAACTCTCCGCACTTCCCAAACGCTCCAAACAGCCCTTGGTCCCTCAAACTATAGGGATTTGAGACCCCAAACCCCTCCATATGAGGGCCCATGAGCATCTGTGTTGGTGTGAAGTTCTCAGATCTTCACAAGTTTCGGAAACCACCCGTCCGAGAGGCATTGGTGAGCTCCCCTCGTTGCTCTTCAGGGCGGAAAAAAGCGATCTCCACCAGCAAGAGCAGGGAGACCAAGCAGGAGGAACCCAACAGAAGCAGTGAAGCCTCAACTGCTTGGTGTGCAGCGCCGCACCGCGCCGCGCCACTGCGCCCAGCGCAAAGCTACTGCGCCGTGGATGAAACGTGAGATGCGTTCGACCCTGTCCAATTCGATGTCCACTTTCCCGACTAGAGGGCGTCCTCAACACCAAAACATCCTTAGCCTGGTTGGCGGGTTCAACTCACTCAAAGTAAACATCAATAGTGACTGGGTTCAACATGGTTCAACCATCAAAAGTATACAGTATATTATACAGTAAATATTATACAGTTAATGGTTGAAAATACTGTAAGTCTCCTGGCCGACCTCCTTTTCGAAGATGGGCCAGGGGTGGGTGCCAGGGGGTAAACGAAACACCTTACCTGAGGAGATGGGACTGGAGCTCTAGGGACAATAACATCTGAAACCACCAGCCAGTTACTACATGTTACTCTTAGTCACTGACCTGACGGCTGTGGACTACAGCCTCCCCAGTTCCTACATGTGACCATACTTACTCACTCTATTCTCACGAGGCCAAGCCACGCCCAGCTTGGTGGAGACTTGTCTCAGGGTGACCTGAACCACGTTCCACTCCGCTGAAGCCTCAGTGATGACTTGAGAGAGGTGGCCCAAGTAGAATCCATGGATGGCAAATGGCATACGTATATATGCCTAATAAGGAATATACATTGAATATATGGCATCTTTATTATACCTAATCTTACCTAATTATATGGCATACGTATACCTTGACCTCTGTTTTGATATGTGTTGATAGGAAATTTGACCATGTTTTGGGTGGTTGGTGGTCCAAAATAGAGGTCATTCAGATTCTAGGTATGCATAAATGCATATCTGGCATACTTATTACAGTACCTAATCTTGCCTATTATATTGTTACCCCCCCCCCCAAAAAAAAAAGACAACTAGTCGGATTCGTCTGGGTCTGGACTACTTATTGGCAGATGTAACAGGAACTTGTCTAGAGCCTCGTGTGATATACCCAAGCTCTACCAAACCAATGGGTTGACATCCCTTAGACGATCCAAATACCTTAGACCTGCAGGTTTGGTGCCGCATGCCTCTTTTCAGGAGATAGGGACTGACTAGTTGGGCTGAGGAGTTAGGGCCGGGCCAGAAACAGGGACTGCCACATGACCATAAAGAAAAAGGAAGTACCGGGACGTACGTCTTCTTCCCGTTATCACTTCTTCGTCTTGTTTTGGAGGGAAGTGTTGACGTTCACATCACGAGAGTCATGCACTCTTTTTCACACGTGCTTAGAAAGAACATCAAGACCCATGAGAACCTCTCCACCTCTCTCATCACGTCGCCACACACACACACATGACGACACCACACGCGTTTTGAGACGTCGTCCTTCCACCGCGGGGCGATACCCAGGTCCATGTTGCGGAAGAAGTTCACCTCAGCCGGATGGGACCTCTCACTGAACATCGGCCATTCACCGCCCCAGCCCCAAAGTCAGCCAACTTGCTACCTGAAACGAAGGGTTGGCGTTGAGACGAAGGGTCTGCCTCCCGGTCGCGGTTCTGCTTCCCTTTTCAGGGACACGAAGGGTCTGGCAAGGAGAAACCGCCCGCGCCGCCTCGAAAGAAGGGATCATGGCTCCGTGAGCCGGGCGCCCATCCTGCTTGACGTGCGATTTTGGGACAAGAAGATCTATCCCAAACGATCCATGATGTATGGAATAGTTAACATGGATGGGTCATTTTCATGGGCTTTTCATGTATGTAACA